TATAGACGGCCACCAGATCCCCTCTTAGTCTTCTCTTGTGGAGGCTGAATAAATTTAGTCCCTTTAGTCTATCTTCGTAGGGCCTGGCCTGCTGCTCCCCAACCATGTCAGTGGCCCTCCCCTGGACCCTCTCAAGGTTAGCCACATCCCTCTTGAAGAGTGGTGCCTAGAACTGGATGCAGTACTCCAACTGCGGCCTGACCAGTGCTGCATAGAGGGGAAGGATCACGTCCCTGGACCTACTTGTGATGCATCTGTAGATGCACAACAAGGTGCAGTTAGCCTTACTGACTGCTTCCTTGCATTGGCAGCTCTTGTCCATGCTAGAGTGGGTTCATTTCCGTGCTCCAGCAGAATTGAGTCTGCTCTGACATGCTGTATTTCTGCATGCCTGTAGGAGCCCCTAGTGTCTGGAAGAGCATGTAAGATTTTGTTTTGTTTATGTGTTTACTGAACTTTTCCTTAGAGAGGTGTCTGAGGAGTTGATAACGGAATGAATTCTGCAGAAGCTAGTATGATAAATTACCCACTTACAGAGTATTCAGAGACAAGTGGTTTTAAGTAATAGGTGAAATGAAACAGATACTTGAAGTTCTTTTATAATGCCTTAATAGACAATAAACCAAAATTAACAGGAAAAATAAACCTTAAACATAGGGTAAGCACATTAAAGGAGATACGAAACAAAATGTTTCTATTAATAATGCATGTAGAATTTTGTATCTGTGATATAGCCACTCATATTTACGGCATTGAAATCTTAAAATATTATATTAGGAGTTAAAATGTAGGAATGTAATTATACAAACCTAATTGAAAGCGGGATGGTAATGAGCCACCTGAAGACAGGCTGTTAGTACTGGAGAGGGAAAAAAATGAAGATCAGCATAAATAGTATAACACAGAAACACAGCTTATGACACCTGTCAAAAGGAGTTATTTGAACTGGCATTTTTATGCTCCATGCTGTATGGGCACAGTCTCAGATGTAGGGCATATCTCCAAAATCTTCAATCCTTTTTTTCTCTTTAAGGACCCATGAAAGATGAGGATGGCCTGCTCTTCCCCCTGTGAAATCAGCAAGGTAATTATGCCCCCTGTTTCTCCCCTAGGGATTAGTAATTCAGATGTGATAGAAGGCATAGCCCAAAGACACAGCAAAGACATTAGCGTGGCAGGGAACCTGGGTTTTGACTCTAGTGGTCCTGAAATAGGAGTTGTAGTGCTGTTCACTTTCCCTTATTCCTTATCCATTGGTACTAGGTCTGTAAGAAGATTGAATATGGATAGGTAGGTAATATTGCCTCTGTATTTGACAGTGTTGCAACTACCACTGGAATATTGAGTCCAGTTTTGATGTCTGTACTTCCAGATCAATGCTGATAAATTGGAGAGGGAGTAGACAAGAGCTATAAAATTCATTATAGGACTGGAAAACCTGGATTATGCTGAAAGGCTCTTGGAGTGCAGTCTGTCTAGTTTATCAGAAATAGATTAAGGATTGACTTGTTTGCACTCTATATGTGCAAAAGAAATTCAACAGCAGGACTCTCGCTCCAGCAGACCAAAGTGCAAAAAGTTCCATATCCTGAAGCTAACAAATTCAAACTAAAGTAAGATCCACTTTTTTTAACAATGAATGATACTAACCCTTGGGAGAACTTGTCAAATGTCAGAATGGATTCTCCATCACTAGAAACTTTTAAGTTATCTTTGGATGCTTTTCAAAAGCCAATCCCTAGTTTGGAAATGGATTAATTGATAGGAGTCCTGTGGCCTCCTGTCCTGTGTTATATAGGAGGTAACGCTTGGTGATCACAAGGGCCCCTTTCTATCTTACTCTATGAATTTAAAACACTTATTACCATAGTTTAGGCTCCTTTTATTTTTCAAAAGCTTAAATTTGCGGGGTCCAACTATATATATCTGAGGTGCATATTAGGGGTGTGCAAAACAGGCTGTATTCGATTTGGATTTGACCCAAATCAGGGACAGTGATTTGAGTAGCTGATTCGGATCACTGTCCCAGTTTGATTTGGCCAAATCCAAATCTGAAGATTTGATGCTGATTCAGAGAATCAGTGATTCAGCCATAGGCACATCTTTAAATGTGTTTTTTTACATGCATCAAGGTACCAGGCATGGCTCATGGACACTGAGATGGTGGGGCAGATGAAGCATCTCACAGAAGCACAGGAGGGCCCCCACATGCTGAGAGGTGGACCTGGAAGTAGCCTGGAAGTACTGTGCATTGCTGAGTGCACAGGGCCACCCCTGCTCCCTGCACCCCTCTGGCTTAGTGATCAGCTGTGAGGGGACCCTGGGTGCTCCCCACACCCAGGAGGCACCAGTCACTGAGTTTGTCCCCCATGCACTCCCCGGCAGGCGGACCAGGAAGTGGACTGGAAGTGCTTCTGGTCCATTTAGGGGTCTGCTGCCTCGTGCTCCCAAGGGACGCTCCATCCACCCCAGAATCTCAGCATTCACAAGCCACCTGGTACCTTGAGGTATGTAGAAAAAACATTTAAAGTTGTCTCTGTCTGAATCATCGAATCTCTCTAAATCGATTCAGAGGCTTCCGATTCAATTCGGAGAGACTAAAGAGTCTTCTGATTCAATTTGGATTCAGAGATTTGGCCGCTGAATCAAATCAGTGACCAAAGCTTCACACAGCCCTAGTGCATATGTGGTAATTCTGCACTTTTTTTTTCTTTCATTCTTTTTTTTTTCCTTCTTTTTTTGGCCTTTGGAGGCTCTGACTTGTCTCTAATTGTGAGCCTAAGAGAGCTGAAAATTCCACTGTAGTGTCTAGAAGCCCCTTTGAGATCTTAGAAGCCCTTCTAAGACCAAACATCATTGAGCTAGGTGGTATACTGACAATATGGGACAGGCCCCTTCCCCAAAAGTTTACTATTTAAACAGGCATGGCAGATGAAGTGTAGAGAAATACATGCCTAAAATCAGGCAATTACAAACTAAAGTATCCTAAAATAAGTGCCTAATTGAAGCCCATGCCAATTAGATCCTAAAATACTCTTCTCTAAAATATAGAGTCAGTCCTAAGGCCAGTTTTATTTAATATTTTCATCAATGACCTGGAAGATGGGATAGAGTATGCACCCTCAGCAAGTTTACAGATGACACCAAGCTAGGGGAGTAGGAGGATTGGACCAAAAGAAATCTCATGAGGTTCAATA